TTCCTTCCTTCCTTCCTTCCTTCCTTCCTTCCTTCCTTCCTTCCTTCTCAGTGGGCCTAACCGTGGACACTATATCACCATCGTGAAAAGTCATGGCTTCTGGCTCCTGTTCGATGATGATATTGTAGAGGTGAGTAAATCGACAAATTGTAAGGAAACCTACCAAGCCTTAATTGAGCCTGTTTTTGTGTTACCGCATTTCATTTGCTGAAAGTAGAATCCTTATTATTCTAAGGCAAAGTTTCTCCATCTGGTCAGCTTTCAAGGTGTGTGGATTTCAACTCCCAAAATTCCTCAGCCAGCTTAATAGACATAATAATATCATTCTCCCCCTTGTGATTTGGAGGAACTCATGTCTTCCATGTTTTTTTTTTTTCAACAGTGCCTTCAAGGATTGATTTTTTTAAAAAGTCAAAATGGCAGCTAGAATACAGGCAGTCCTCAATTTACGAACCGTTGCTTAGCAACCATTCAGAGTTCGAACAGCTACTTCCCTTCCCCATTATGTAATCACATTTTGGGCACTTGGCAACTGGCTCATGTTTCTGGCCCTTCGTACTTGATCACGATTTACATTTTTGCTGGAAATGAACATTTAATTTGTTTTCCAGCAAAAACAGCCCTTGGCGGACATGGATTCGCTTGTATTTACCGTATTCCCTTAAGCACCCATGGCATTTGTTTAATGACTGCAGTGATTCCCTTACTGACCACTGTAAAAAAAAAAAACATTGCAAAATAGGGTGTGGTCATTTGTTGACCCTCTTAATAACCAGCCTAACCTGTGACCATAATTTCAGCCTCATTTACAGTCATAAGTCAAGGACTATTGGTTGTGCAGTCAAACCCAGATGGAACTTTGATCAGTTGTTGCACTCATACTGTCACAGCAATTTTTTGTTACACCGCTTTTTTTTTTACCATACCATGTGAAGGACTTTTAGTCCTTCACAGCAGTTTGTAACTCATCCTTATAACTTGCTAGTTTTCTGACCCAGCCTTATCAGGCCCTTGCAATAATCGCAAAGCCGTGAGCTCCCAGCCGAAAGGCTGCAAATTAAGTTCTGGCAAGCAGTCTCTGTGGCACAAAACACTATGAGCAAAATCTTCAGAAAGATTAACTGTTTTCTGCTACGACAACCTCTCCCCTTTCCTTCTATTTATTCCCCATCCAGGGAGGGGCCCATTCAGTGTCCAAGTGTGTTTTGTTTCCCAAGTTGACTTCTTGTCCTCCATTGTTCCCCTCTTCTAACATATGTGCGCATATGTGCGTCTGGAACAGGCTCCAGCTGTTCTTCCTCCTCACTCATATCAGCCTCTAAAGGCAGCTGCCTCTCCGGTAGCTGGGAAATGTTGGATGGCTCTGGCTGTATCTCTGCATCTGACACAGACCCTTCCCCAGACTCCAGCACTGGCCCAAATTCCTTCCCAACCGCCTCCTCAATTCGAATCTGCCACCAGCTCCACTAGCAGCTGGCGGGCCACAACAGCTAATCGCTTGCTAATCGAAGTTCGATCTTGGAAGTTTTGACGATGATTTTGTTTGCTTTATATTTATCTGATCACAGACTGAACATCGCATGCAGAAGAGCTGCAAAATTTCCTACAGCTGCCATTGTTTTAGAGTAATATTTTAATTTGAGAACTATTGTTTTTAAAAAAATGATTTTTGTGTTGTTTTTATGCCTTGTCGCATGTCATGGGCCACAATGATGTTATTGAATCAGGAATCATTATGCAGGTAGTCCTCAACTTATGACTCCAATTGAGTCTAAAATTTATGTTGTTAAGTGACCTTTCTCCGTTTTTACGACCTTTTCTGTCCCCGTTTGTTAAGTGGATCACGCAGTTGTTAAATTACTGTGTTTCTCAGAAAATAAGGCTGGGCCTTATTTTTTATTTTTTGAACCCACCAAAAACGGCTAGGCCGTCTTTTCGAAGGGTGACTTAATTTTCCCCCGCGTGCAGCCTTGGCTAGAGTGCCCCGCAGGCAGCCATACCTCGCCATCGGGCCACTTCTATCAGCCGATAAAAGCAGCCCGGTGGCGAGGCGTGGCTGCCTACAGGGCGCTCCTAACGGCCAATAGAAGCGGCCCGGTGGCGAGGCGTGGCTGCGCATGGGATGAGTTCGACAAGTTTTTTCCCCCCTCTGCCCTTCCCCCCCCATGTCTCTTCACCTCGTATTGTTCAAGCAATGTGATAAATGGCGGGGAACGCATGCACTTAAATAGGCCCAAATTTTGGTGGCAGGGCTTAATTCCACTGTATGAGTACAAAGCAAAGTGCTGTACGCGAACGCCCTTTTTAAATCCTGTTTTCCCAACTGCAGCTAATGAAGGGAATCAGGGCCCTTTTCTCCCCCGTAGCCCCCATAACTCACATTGCTCCCTTCTCCATTCTTCCCTGTGTACCCTAGGATGAAGAGGGGATGGCTCTGGGTCTTCCTCTGAATGTCCAGCCGGACTGTGCCCTTCCCCTATTTCTTCCACAGACACCGGAGCCACATTCCCACTCCCTGTCAGCTGCTCAACCTCCCCCTCAGAATCAGATTGCAACAGGGGCATGACAGCTTAATAAAGTTTGACTTGTAAGACTTTTGGGCCAGAAATAGTCCAAAGATCTCAGCTGTTGTCTATCAATGGAACATCTCAGTTATGCAAGTCATGGTTGTCCCAAAAGTGTTTTTTTCAAGAGGCAACTGGACTTTCTGGTTTTTCTTTGAAGGCGTTTCACTCCTCATCCAAGAAGCTTCTTCAGCTCTGATGTTCGCAATCTCTCAGCTGCTCGTAATCTTTCCAAAAGTGAGGGAGAAATAGATGCACGCATATTGCAAGTACAAAGTATAAGGAAAGATATTATAAGAAAGTATAAGGCTCAAAATAGCCTGGTTGTCTAGCTTGCTGAAACCTGAGGCCAAATCCCATTGCTTATAAACATGATGTCAATTTCAGCATTCCTGTTTTGATAGCTTCTCTCTTTTCTTTTCTCCCCTTTAGAAAATCGATGCACAAGCTATTGAAGAATTCTATGGCCTGACGTCCGATATATCAAAAAATTCAGAATCTGGATATATTTTATTTTACCAGTCAAGGGAATGATTGGGAAGACTTGTGACTTTCTCCATACTAGAGTGGATCCTGACCAACGCTGTTAACCTGACTACTCTGTAGACCTGACCAATACAGCCCACGCAGGATCATTGCTTAATCGTTGACTAAAACTCCTAACTTATGTCTGGAAGATTCTCCCATCTTAAGTCATCAAGAAGAAGAGCAAATGTAGAGAGGCTCACATTCATCAGGTGAATCCACCAAATGGAGGTATAATGTTGGATAGATGCTTGCATCACCGTTTAAGGACCACTTCTTCTTCGCCCATTCCTTTTCAGCAGTGATTTTCAGACTGTGGAGTTGTGGAGTTTCTCGACAGATTCACGAGGATTCCTCAATAATAAGACCACTCAAAATGAGAGCAATCTACAAGATACCTACTAGAGGTCTACGACAGCTTGCCGCAACCAGCTCGCCATGGGAGAAGAGTTACACTAATATCAAAGGAATAGAAATAGAATCATTAAAGGAGGCTAAAGGAAGGACAATGAAATGTGAATGACAAAAAAATAATTTTTAAATTATTTTAAATAATGAAATTGAATTGTTGAGTTGTTGCATGGTGAGTTGGCCATGTCGGATTCTCCTGCGGTGAGTTGACCATACCGAATTGGTCATCATAAGTTGGCCATCGTGAGTTGGCTGCAGTAAGCAGTCTCATTCCATTACTATCAGACCAGGTGATTCATTGCTGATCCCTACAGGGACAGAGACAAGAAGGAAGAATTTGTTTGAAGAAGCAAGAATATATTCTCACAAGGAATAGCATCAGCTGAAAACAACTTCACTCAAGCCACTTCTCCAAAACCAGGAACCAGAGTTGATAGCCAATTCCTTAAAGCAGCTTTTCCGAGCCTGTGTATTTTTAGATGTTTTTTTAGGCTGCAATTTGCATCTTGAGCTTTTCACATGCTGTTCAGGGATAGTGTAAGTTGTTGTCTACAACATCTCGGGGCCTCTTGCTGATTTTTTTTATCTGTTCATCCCGTAACTACAGTATAGGTAGTCCTCGGCTTATGACCGTAATTGAGCCACGCCCAATTTTATCACCTTTTGGGGCAATGGTCATTAAGTAAAAGCGTTGGTTGTTAAGCAAACCTATTTTAGCCAATAGGCTAAATCCCCAAACTTGGCAATTTTAAGACTTGTGGACTTAAAGCTATCCTGGCTGGAGAATTCTGGGAGTTGAAGTCCACAAGTCTTAAAGTTGCCAAGTTTGAAGACCCCTGGGCTAAATGATAAGTTTCCTGCAAAAAAAAAAAAATTGTAGAAAATCACAGTCACCTGACCACAGGATGCCACAAATGGCCGGAAATGGGGACTGGTTTCCAAGCACCCAATCGCGTGACTGGGATGGCTCTCAGGATTTTGAAACCAGATGGTTAATAATTCTGGGGAGATCCATCATAACTTTGAATGGTTGTTGGTCATAACCGAGGACTCTCTGCACTGATGTTAGACTGAAGGTATGCTGTATTTTAAAGTGTGCACAATGCATTTTTTTAAATTGATGAATTCCAGGAAGCCTTAGCAGCCCATGCTATATAAAGTGAGTTTTTCAGGAGCCTTGTGATAAGTGCTTCTGAAAAGATTGTGAAAAGGGTTTTCGTGTTGTAGGAAATCTGAAACCATTGCTTTCAAGGTAATTGCCATTCACAGGAAGGCAAGATAAATACTTTTTGGAACTGGGCTTGGGCTATGAATTATTTCAGATGGGTGTTCTCCCTTTGAGAGCTGAGCCTTTTAAGCTTTGGCTTATTGAAAAAGAAATCAAGTTGGCAACGCCAAGCCGTACATTCCCTTAAAAGGATTTTAGTCTCACTTAAATCATGCTGCAGATCCACATTCCCTGTTCGTTGTAGGGCAGCCATTCACTGTCGTACACGGCCCAGAGTCACTTTTTTGTGTGGTGGGCGATCTGGCTCTTTGGATTCTAACAAACAATTAGGAGATATGGCACTGAAAAAAATGAGAGTCTATTTTTCTGGGTTAGTTTCATTGCAAAAGTTATAGTTTTGTTCTTCACCCAATGAGATGCCAGAAATTTGGTTCTTGCTTATTCAGATCTTTGTATCAATGTCACACCCATTATCCAAGAATTAAACACATCCAGTTAAGCAAATAGCAGCCACAATCCAAAGTTCCATAAGATTTAAACACACAAGCAGAATCCCATGTGGGATTTGTAGTTCTTTTCCCTCTTGGAAGATCGAACAAGCGTGCTTATGAGATCCTGCATGTTGCTGGCTTGAACAGTGGTGCTGAGGCCTACAGATTGCCACGTTTCAGTAAATTTCATGGACTGCAGAGAGAGCAAAACGGGATGGCATCTTCTGGAGCTTCCCAAGCTGTGCAATATATTTCACATTTGCAGTAAGAACCAGTTCTTTGGGTTCTGTCCCTTTGCAATTGGGGCCGGGGTAGGCGTGGCCAGGGTGGGCATGGCCAGCTTGATGTCACTCAGGTCGGGGGTACCTGTGGTGATCCGAGCAATCTCCCAGCAAAAACAGGCTCCCAAGCTCCAGTTTTGGCTACAACGGCCTCTTGCAGCCCTCTGCCAGTGAATACGCAGCTTGGCCGAAAATGGAGCTCAGGATGGCTGCGTGCATTTTCAATGGCAGAGGGCTGCAGGAGGCTGTCGTGGTCAAAAATAGAGCCAAGCTCTGTTTTTGCTGGCAGAGGCATCGTGGGCTGGATCTGGTCTGCGGGCCTTGAGTTTGACACCCCTGAAGTAGAGCATAATTGGCAAGATCCAGGGGTGGGATTCTTCCAGTTTGCACCTATTCGTTAGAACTGGTTGTTAACATTCTAAGCAGTTTGGAGAACTGGTTGTTAGAAGAAATTACTGGCCTAATCCTGTAAGGAAGGCAGGAAGGAAACGTTCTGGTGTTGCTTACAGAAACTTACCTCTCCCTTAACCTTTATTACATTCTTGGCAGGTCTAGACTTCCTGTCTCTGGAACTTCTCTAGAGTTTATTTTCCCTCCTTTGCTGGTACTTTGCTTGTGTGGAGTGACCATTCAAAGTTACAATGGCACTGAAAAAAGTGACTTATGACCATTTTGCACACTTACGACTGTTGCAGCATCCCCACAGTCATGAGAGGCCAGGCAAGGAGATGCGTGCCTCAATGTGAGTGATATCGAGCTGGCCACGCCCAGCCAATAACATGACCACCAAACCATGTCCACCCAGTCACATGACCACCAAGCCATGACCACCACCTAAGCCATGCCCACAGAACCAGTTGTTAAAAAATTTGAATCCCATTACTGGCAAGATCTCTTAAGTGTCAGCTGGTGCTCCATTCAAAATCCAAGAAAGAAATACTTAGACTCCTTTAATCAGAGAAAAGATATCTTTTACTGGAAATCAAGTGGTAGCAACAAAAGAATTCTGAATCTGAGAAAATGGGCGCATAAATCACATATACCAAACTAATGGCAACGTTCCCACCCCCAATAGTTCAATTGGCTCATCCAATTAAAAGTTGTGTATATCATCATGTGGGCATCTCCAGGTGGTGATGATGCTTCTGTCCATTGACCTTGACATAGTTTGATAAAGGGTTGCAGCTGCGCATAGCATAGGATAGAAACCTAAGCAAGAATGTAACCCCCTCCCCCCACAGTTTATATAGTTCTGGTTTGTAACACCCCCAGCTCACTTCCCATAACTACTCCCCCCTCTTCCCCCATTACTTATGACAGCCGAAAGATGCAAAGCAAAGGGAGAAAATCTTGAAGGCTGACATTCGGCCCTCCTAGAAAAGAGATGTTAGTCCTAAAAAAGATAAAAATAGAAGGTAATAGAAAATATACATGTAACAGCAACATACTAATTTTTTAGGGTTTATCCGGATATTTAGTACAAAATGCCTTGATAAGTGTAGGAGCTCTAACATCCTTCTCATTCACCCACTCAGCCTGGGAAGGAGGAAAGTGTTTCCAAACAACCAAATACTGGAGTCGACCCCTTCGTTTTTGAGAATCCAAAATTTCTTTAACTTCAAAATGTTATTCACCTTCAATTAGCAATGGTACAGGGGGATCAACCTGAGTTGGTCTCAAGTCGGAAGTATGTTCAGGTTTTAATAAACTAACATGGAAAACAGGGTGGATCCGTCAAAGAGTTTTTGGTAATTTCAGTTGGACTGCCACAGGGTTCACAATTAGTTCAATTGAGAAAGGTCCAGCATACTTAGGTCCAAGCTTTTTTGACTTTTGTGTGATCTGCAAATATCTGGTGGATAAAAAGACCTTGTCACCCACTTGATATGGTTTTTGTGGAGTTCTCTTTTTATCTGCAAATTTTTTATGAGCTTGATGAGCATCATCTAATGCTTTATGGGTAACCCGCCAGGTAAGCTGGAGCTGTGTTATCCATTCATCTAATGACTGAATGTTAGGTTTCTCCCATGGAAGCTCAGGTATGGGTACAAAGTCTTGTCCCGAAGCCACTTTAAATGGAGTAAACCCAGTACTACTATGTACCGAATTATTATATGCCACCTCAACGAATGGCAATAGGTCAGCCCAATTATCTTGCTGATAATTTAGATATTGTTCCAATACCGAGTTAATCCTCTCACAAGCCCCATTGGTTTGTGGATGGTGGGCGGAGCTTAAGCCCTGGGCGGAGCCCAATAACTTCAGGAACTCCTTCCAAAAGTTTGAGGTAAACTGGACACCCCTGTCTGAGATTATGCGTTCAGGAGCCCCATGTAACCTGTAGATATGTAAAATAAACAGTTTAGCCAACGTTTTTGCAGGTGGGATTTTTGGACAAGGTATGAAATGTACCTGTTTGGAAAACAAATCAGTTACTCCCCAAATAACTGTATTCCCCCCACTCTCAGGTAATTCCACTATAAAATCCATAGAGATTTCCTTCCATGGAGCCATTGGTCTAGCCACATTTTGAAGTAAGCTTGCTGGTTTACCAGAAGGCCGTTTGGCTGAGGCACAGATAGGACAACTAGCTACATAAGTCTCAATGTCCTTTTTTCAAGGTAGGCCACCAAAATTGTCTTTTAACCAAGTGTAAGGTTTTCACAAATCCAAAATGACCAGTGGCTTTAGAGTCATGAGCTTGCTGTAATATTTGGTTTCTCAGCTTCGCTGGCACATATAATTTGGCCCCCACCCATGCCAATCCATCTCTAATTGTACAGTTATTTGAGTGAGCAAGAAACCAATCATCAAGTTTTAGAGCATCTCTTAATTGTGCCGTCAAATCATTTGATAAATCAACCTCCTTCTTTTTCTGGGCTCTGGTAACCACTGGAGCTGCCAACTGTTTGGTTGGGACAATCAGCCATACCACTTCTTGGCGAGCACTATTATATTGAGGTAATCTAGATAAAGCATCCGCTGTGAAGTTCTTCCTCCCTGGAATGTACTTCAATGAAAAATTAAAGCGCTTAAAGTACTGTGCCCAGCGAACTTGCTTGGGAGACAGCTTCTGGGGCGTTTTAAAAGCCTCCAAATTTTTATGATCCGTCCACACCTCAAATGGGTGTTTTGCCCCTTCCAAGAAATGCCTCCAGGTTAACAGAGCCCAGCAAACTACAAAAGCTTCTTTTTCCCAGATGGCCCATCTTCTTTCGGTTTCAGTTAGTTTACGGGAAGTATATGCACACGGTTGCAGAGTCCCCGTCTCATTTGCTTGTAGTAACACCTCTCCGACTGCTACGTCACTCGCATCGGCTTGGATTACAAAAGGAGCATCCATGTCCGGGTGCTTGAATACTGGTTCAGCAGCAAACAGTCGTTTCAGCTTTTCAAAAGTGGCTTGACATTCCATGGACCACTCCAGTGGTTTACTAGGCTTTGGTTTCACCTCCCCTTTGGTTTTTAGGAGATTTGTGATAGGCATTGCAATCTTCGCAAAAGCAGGGATAAATTGACAGTAAAAATGAGCGAATCCCAAGAAACTTTGAAGTTGTTTCCTGGTGCAGGGAGGGGCCCATTCCAAAACGGCACGAACCTTCCCCGGATCCATTTCTGTGCCATCATGTGAGATGCGATAACCTAAATAGTCATTTTTTTCCTGGTGGAATTCACACTTGGACAACTTTGCATACAGCTCAGCAGCTCCAAGTTTTTCCAGAACTGACCGCACTAGTTTCACATGTTCATCACGAGTCTCCGTGTAGATAAGAATATCATCTAGATAAACCAATGCCCCTTTGTATAGATGTTCATGCAACACCTGATTGATCATTTGCATGAATACTGCAGGGGCCCCCTGTAGGCCAAATGGAAGAAGGTTGAATTGGAAACAACCCATTGGGCAGTTAAAAGCAGTTTTCCATTCATCTCCTTCCTTAATTCGAACCCGGTAGTATGCTTTTCTCAAGTCGAGTTTTGTAAAAAATTTCCCTTTGGCCAAGTGGGCCAACATGTCCTTCATTAAGGGGAGGGGGTACACGTTCTCCACTGAAATAGCGTTCAGGTTTCTGTAGTCAACACAAACGAAGGGAGCCATCTTTTCACGGAACAATACTGGGGCTGCTACCCGGGGTCTAGCGGGTTGGATGAAACCACGTGCCAAATTCTTATCGATAAATGACTGCAGCTCTTCTAGCTCCTGCGGTGTCATCGAGTACAGTTTCGGTTTTGGGAGTTTCATCCCGGGTAAAATTTCAATACCGCAATCTGTTGAACTATGGGAGGGAAGCTCATCTGAGGCCTTTTCACTGAATACTTCCTGTAAGTCCCAATATTCCTCTGGAATTTTTTCCTCCCTCTTCAGGTTCTCGGTGCCAGTGGAGGCCAGTTCAGTGGGATTCTTGAGTTTCGGTTGAGATTGCCCCATCCCTTCTGGACGCTGGTCAGTACGTATGCGCAATGACCCTCTCCTCCAATCAACATGGGGGTTCCATTTCCGGAGCCAGGGCAACCCCAGTATTAGGGGCCGCTCCATCCCAGGAGCCACAATAAAACACAAAGTCTCTCTATGCTTCTCCATCGTCATTTCTATTGGTTCCGTTATGAAATGTGCAGGGCCACCCCCAGCTATCGATCCATCCAGTTGGCAAAAGGCTATGGGCGTTTTTAAAGTCTTTAGCCTTAAGCCCATTTTCTCCACTACCTCCGAGCTGATTACGCACCTTGTGCACCCAGAGTCTAACAAGGCCAGCATTTCCCCTTTGGCTCCCGACGTGGGTACCCTTAATCTCACTGGAATGGCCATAGGGCCCTTGTTTGGACTTACCAGTGAGTCGTCTTCCGATTCGGATTCACTCTCTTCAGAAGAGGTTGGAGTTCCCAGCTCCTCCTTTCGGAGGGGCGATCTCTACAACCTCCTCCGCTTTAAGCGCTGCTTCACGAGGCTTTGCTGGGGGGTTTTCAGGTTTTCTTCCTCCTCCTGGCGCCCCCTTTGGTTCTAGCTTGGCACAGCAATCTGCAGCCCAGTGACCTTCCTTCCCACATCAGAAGCAAGCAATGGTCTTGGATTTTGCCGCCATTACTCCCTTTTGAGGTTTTAAGGCTTCTCGAGGGCTAGTGGGGGAGGACTTGCTCCAACCAACCGCCCCCCCCCGGCATCTGTTTTGGGTCAGATCAATTTCTACCTCTGTTGCCAGCACGTACCACAGCTGCAGCTCCCTGGGGTCTCTTGTGGCAATACAGCTTTGATGTACATCTTCATTCAACCCATCTTTAAAAGCTTCTATCAGGGCTCCCTGGGACCAGCCTCGAATATGACACGCCAGCTCTCAAAATTCCTGGGTGTAATCGGCCACTGATCTCTGCCCCTGATTTATGGTCTTCATCCTAATTCTGGCCTTACGTTCAGCAAGTGGGTCTTCAAATCTGGCCCGCAGCGCAGTCATGAACAGATCATAATTCATCAGCTGAGGGGCATTATCATTAGGCCAAGTCACCATCCACTCTGCAGCGGTTCCCTCCAGAGCCCTGGTAACACATCTAACTTTGGCTGCTTCTGAGGAAAAATCCCCTCCGTTTTCCTCCATATGGCTCCAGACTTGTGCCAGGAAGAATCCTAACTCCTTGGGATCCCAGCCCCCTATATTTTACTTCCAATGGGGGCACCTTTGGAGTTCTACGTCTTCTGGCAATTACCCCTCCCGCTGGGGGCCCCTGGGCTGCTGCTGCCTGTTGCGCTAGCCCAGGTTGCTTTATGGGGTGGCTGCTCTGATTCTTCTGGCTGGGGCTGCCTCCCCCTCCTCTCCCTCATACCTTTGATCAGTTTGAGGTTCTCCGATAGCTTCATTTAGAAGATGCATGGCTTGAGTTAGTAAAAAATTCTTTCCTTCTCCTGCCATGGCTCCTCTCTTCCACGCCGGTGGATAGTGGTCACTCCTGGAGGAGGCTTTTCCTCAAGATCCTTCCAACCGACTCCCAGGGACCATTTGGGTTTTACAGCTGGTTTTTGCCAAGACTTAGTTCTGCTAACAAGTTGGCTTGCCCTGCTTCCTCTAGCAGCAGAGAATCTTGTCCTCCAGTTGTTTCCAGGTCTTCTTAGTCGCTGGCTGGATTTGATATTGTGTTCAGATCCCCTCGGAAGAAAATTTATTAATTCTCCTGGTGGGCTGGTAATGTGGAGATTCAGAATAATGTCAGCTGGTGCTCCATAAAAATCCAAGAAAGAAATACTTAGACTCCTTTAATCAGAGAAAAGATATCTTTTACTGGAAATCAAGTGGTAGCAACAAAAGAATTCTGAATCTGAGAAAATGGGCGCGTAAATCACATATACAAAGTAATGGCAACGTTCCCACCCCCAATAGTTCAATTGGCTCATCCAATTAAAAGTTGTGTATATTATCATGTGGGCATCTCCAGGTGGTGATGAGGCTTCTGTCCGTTGACCTTGACATAGTTTGATAAAGGGTTGCAGCTGCGCATAGCATAGGATAGAAACCTAAGCAAGAATGTAACCCCCCCACCCCAGTTTATACGGTTCTGGCTTGTAACACCTCCAGCTCACTTCCCATAACTACTCCCCCCTCCTCCCCCCGTTACTTATGTCAGCCTTCAAGATTTTCTCCCTTTGCTTTGCATCTTTCGGCTGTCATAAGTAACGGGGGGAGGAGGGGGGAGTAGT